AGAACCGTGTAGTGGGCTCTGCAGCTGGACCACTAGCCTCCTAGCTCCGCCCCTTTCCAGAATCTGCTGCAAGGCCTGGCACATGGCAGGGGCTTCATGAATATTTGTTGGATGAATTGATGGTTGGATGGATGGATGGGTGAATGGATGGGTGGGTGGGTGGGTGGATGGATGGATGGATGGTTGGTTGGATGGATGGATGGAGGTGACTCTGGACTCATCAGTTTCCTCGTCTATAAAACGCAGGTCACAATAACTATTAGGATTCAACGAGTGAGCGCAGGTACAGTCTTTGGCCTGGTCCATGGCTGGCCATTGTCAGCGTTCGCTGCACGCTGGCTGCCACTGAAATTACTACGGGCTCCGGCAGGAAAGACAAAAGGCTCGTTTCCTGTGACTGTGGCCTGGTGATTAACTGCACACTCCGAGGGTATTTTCCCTGAGTTCAGTGTGGGGGAAATAAATATGTAAATCCCCTTTGCCGGTGCCTTCATGTTAAGCTCCAGAGAGGAGCAGAGGGGACCACGAATGTGGGACAGAATGAAGGAGCGAAGCGGGTGGTGGGGGCAAGACAGATGCCCCCTTCCCCCAGGCGGTGGCTGAGCCCTCAGCTGGGGTCAGGGGCCGAGGGACAGTCCTGGCTCGGCCACTAACTGACAGCGTGATTGTGTGATTTGGGCAATTTTCTCTCCGCTCTGGGCCTTGGTTTCCCCTTCCCACTCCGGTGGACTTTGCATCTAAAACAGCAGGGACGGGTGAGGGAACTCCAGCTGCCTCCCTTGGACACCCCCCCCCCCACACACACACACACCCACACACACACTGAGAAAGCCCTGGTCCTGGGCACTGGCCCCTGGTCTCCAGCCCAGGTGACCTTCGATATGGCCAAACTTTGTGCCTGATTCTTTGCTCAGGAACTTGGCTCGGTAAGTGCTGCAGTTATGAATGAATGCCTGCTGCCTGCCTCCCCCATCGCACTGGGCGCTCTCCACCGTCAGACTAGGGCAGTGGTCAGCAAACCGCTGCTCACAAGCCACATGTGGCTCTTTGGTCCCTTGAGTGTGGCTCTTTCACAAAATATCACATGCGGGCGTGTACTTACAGTGCGATTGAAACTTCATGGCCCATACGCAGAAGTCGGTTTTCGGCTCTCAAAAGAAATTTCAATCATTGTACTGTTGATATTTGGCTCTGTTGACTAATATTTGCCGACCACTGGACTAGAGCATCTGGGGACAAGGGGTTGTTCTCTTCCACCCCTCCCCTCCTCTCAGACCGGGAGCTCCTCCGGCAGGGGCTGGGAAACCCCTAAGGACAGGCCTCAGTGTCCCCTTTCTCTCTCTGCCCACTACCCCCAATCGTGTGCCCTGCTTACGAGCCCTAGCTCTGAGCCAGTGCAGCGATGAGTCTGCAGGTATTAGATTCTTCAAAGTCATCATGGTTATAAAAGCTTCCTTTTGGCCTAAGCTGCCTTGGGTTGTTTTCCAAGTAGCCCGCCCTGAAGGGGACAGAGTGGGCTGGGGTCTCTGAGTCCCAGCCTCCAGCCAGCCAGCAGAGAGAGGCTGGTTTCCTCTCCAGAAGGGCCCAGTGCACAAAGCTGGGGACGAACAGGTGCGGAGTGCTGAGGGCCTGATCCTCTATGGCTGCCTTTGGGGTGGCTGAGGGCTGGGCTAGGAGGGGACCAAGCCTCGTGGTTATCCAAACCTCTAGGAAGGCCTTACTTGTCTGAGTCAGCCCTGCCCATCATCCCCTAATCTGTGGTCCTGGCCTCAGTTTTCTCATCCGTGACATGGGCTGAATGAGCTTTCCCCTCCCCCGAGCTGAAGGGCCCAGCTTCCCCAGATGGTTTCCTCTGGCTGCCAACCAGTCTCCGAAAGAGACCGCGAGTGTGGGCACTTCTGAGGCAGGAGTGTGAGCGGCTAGGAGCTCAGGCTCTAGGGGCGAGGGTTGGGTCCCGGGTCTGTCCCTGAAGTAGATTAGGAGACAGGAAACGCGCTGAGCGGGGCTCAGAAAGTCTAGCTGTCCTTGTCCCATTTCAGCAAGACACATAGTGCGTGAGTTCTGTTTCAGGATGCTCTCTGTCTGCCTGCCTGTGACACTGCCAGCTCCGCAGGGACAGGGGCAGGGCCTACCTCCCTCCTGCTCCCTGGCCAATGCCTAGATCAGACCCTGGCACCTCGCAAATACTCTTAAGTCCGGGGCCAGGCAGAGCTGAGATGAATATGTGGCTTTTGGGGAATTCTGCTGGGCAGTCAGTCTCTCTGTGGAGTCCCTCATGCTCCCAGCACCTGCTTCCAGAGCTGGGTCTGAGACAAAGATGGGGTGCACTCCAGGAGGGGCCATCATCCCCAGCAGTGAACCAGCCAGTGTGACGAGCAGGTCCTCAGCAGACCCCCAACTTCACCCCCCAGCGCAACCTCCTTGGGCCAAGACCACCTGAGCAGCGGCGGCAGGGACCTGCCATCCCAGAGGGGCCCATCACGTCCTTCTCTCCCAGGTTCCCTGGCTCTTCCTGCTGGGGAGACCAGACCTAGGAGGCAGAGAACCCCTCCTCCCCCCTAAACCACAGAGATGTGTGATGATGTCAGTGGGCTGCTCAGATGGAGGAGGGGCGTGCTGGCCACGAGCACAGAAATGCCGGAACGTTTGTACAAGACCCAGCACCCCCTCACCGCCCCCTTCCTTCAGGAAGTGTTCGCAGCTTAACCCCAGAGGGTCAGCGCACAGAAGCACACACAGCCTGCCCCCGGCCCGCCCTGCACGCACCCCCTTCTCCCTCCGGCAGCTGTTCACCTCCCAGTCCCCTCTGCCCCTGTCAGACCCTCCATCCGTCTTCACACCTTTGGTGGGAACCTCTGGGCAAGTGTCCGAAGTCTGCCCATCCATCACGCCTCCAGCCTCTCCAGGGAGCGAGCTGCTGAGGGTTGGGCTGGATCTGGCTGTTCACATGGATGGGTCCGTTTCTCCTCTTCCCTCCCTCCCTGGGGCTCCTTTCTGAGCCCAAACAGTGCACACAGCATCCTCACTGCTGAACCCCCTGCTTAGCCATGCTGCCAGGGGCCCTGGTCTCCCCATCTTTCCTCTTCCCTGTGGCAAAAGTGCTGCTTGGGGGGTAAATCTCAGCCCACACTGAGACCAGGGACTGGGAAGAGCAGTGGTCAGGGAGCCAGGTGCCCCGAACTCAGCCCTGGTCCTGCCAATGTGTCCTGGGCCCTCCATCTGTCAAGCCAGACGGCTGGCCACGTCCTCTCAACGGCCTTCCTCCAATTCCCAAGCGATGCTCCTCCGACTTGTTGGAGGCCAGGCCAGGACCATACTCTCCATGGATGCCTCGTGTCTCTGCAGCATCCTCCCCACCAGCTTGGGGATCCTGCTGTGTCTGTCTCCTGACTCTGGAAGGAGAGCTGGGCCCTAATGAGACCCAGGAGGTCATGGCCTGGAATCCCAAAGCAGCTGCGTTGGGTTCCACTGGGCTGCATCACCCCCGCCATGTGGGTCCCCAGCGACTTGGGGCTCTGCGTTCAGCTGCATGTTTGCCCGGCACTCACCTCTGCCTGGACCTGGGCCAAGGGCTTTACCCAGACCATCTCACTTAGTCCTCAGGGACCCTAGGAGGTAGGTGGTGAATTGTCCCCATTTCGTGGATGAGAAAATCAAGGCATAGAGAGGAGAAGGGAACTTACCCACAAGTAAATGATGGAACTAAAATGCCATTAGCCCTGAACGGCCCACATCCATAGAGGCACACAGGAATGAATCAAAAACACGCAGAGAATTAACATTCTTGGGAGTGTTTTAGATCAGTGGGAAAGGCTGTGTGTTGATAAAACTTTATTTACAAAAATGGGTAGCTGGATAGATGTGGCCAGGGGGCTGGGGTTATAGTTAACCTACCCTTTGGCCCCCTTTTATTTCAGGCAACATTTTCTATATTGATTACATTATCTTGGCAATGATGTGGGGGAGAGGGGAAGGAAAAGAGAACTAAGGCTTCCTTGGCCCTATTTTATGCCGAGCCCTGCGCTAGGTGCTCTGACCTATTAGCACGCGAGTGTGAAGAACATCTTTCTTGGGTTAGTGACACTCTTCTGTGTAACAGGGATGAGCTGAGGCTCAGCGATGCTACCTTGCCTGACACCTGGGCAGCGGAGCTGGGTTCAAACCCCTCCAAGTCTTCCCCTTCTACAGCAGTTCCGTCTGTATCAGACCAGAGGGAGGTGACTCAGAAGCGGGGAGGGTAAAACCCTTCTCAGATTTAATCCCTTCTCTGGTGCACATCCACCTGAGCGCCTGCTGTGGCTACAAGAACGAACTCACCGGTTCCTCACACTCACAAGAACGTTCAGCAACACCAAATCCTGTGCCCCAAACCCACCGCGAACCACCATCAGCATTGAAAGTCTGACTTCTAATAGCACCCCCAGGCAATGAGTGACTTAACCAGCAACCAATCACACGCGAGTGAACAGAGTCCCAAGACCCAATGGGAGCAGGGTGCTGGCAGCACCCCAGCCACACTCTCCACCAACAGGACATTGGTCCCGCCTTTCGTTTGAAGGCCACTCCTGTGGAAGGCGGGAGATGGAGCACAGGATGGAATCTAGGGAGGACTCCTGGTTCCAGAACAAGCCCCAAACACAGTCAAGTCCCACGGGAGCTGTGCAAGGTTCCCTCCAAGGCACTGGCTGAAAAAGCCTGACTTTTATGGACTGAACGGCCACGAGGTGGGTGGTCTGGGGCCAGGACCACGTCTGTAAAACAATATTTGTTTGTTTGGTGGGGAGGGAGAAACAAGAAGCATGGACACTTGTTATGCAAACTCTTTCTCTGCGTCCACCCGCTGGGTCACCCAGGCCTGCAGCTTGAGAAGACAAACCCAAGGTGACAGAGCACGAACTTTCTCCCCAAGGAGCGCCAGCCTGTGTCACCCAGAGCCCTCGAAGGCGGGGCTGGTGGGCATCTGGCCCTGGGGCCTTGGGCAGAGGGGCGAGGCCACCTACCTGAGGAGACAGGCCGTTGCTGACGGGGTTCATGTGGTTGGAGGGCGCCGCCGCGTTCATGAAACTGTCGGAGTAGCTGGAGAAGCTGTGGCGGGCTCCGTAGGCGGAGCTGGTATCCGCGGCCGCGGCGGCCACCGCCAGCCCCCCCTGGTGCATGGTGGACGGTGGCAGGGGCTGGGGCCGGTGCACGGTGCTGCCCCCATCTGTGGAGAGACCCAGGAGAGGGTTGGTCGCACCTTGAAGGGGTAGGGAGGGGCCTCAGGGAGGGAAAGAGCCTCCTGTTTGGAAAGCGAGCTGTGAGCCTCCTCCTCCCAGTGCCCACCCAGTGGAGGGAAGGCACCATCTTCTCTTGAAAGGGGACAAGCTGGCTTCTGGGCAGGGCTCTAGGGACTGGCCAAGTCTGGACAGACAGCCAACCAACTTGCCAGGCCACCTCTAGGCGACTGCACCGGCCCTGCTGCCCAGTGCCTGGCACCCATTGGGTGCTCGCTCAGTAACTCGTCTGGACTGAGTCAGGCCTCCGTCAATCTCTCCAGGCTTCTCCTGATAGCATTTCTTCAGCAGCAACCACCTGCCAGATGCTTCACAAATACCAAGGGTGTGAAGCAAGACTATGGTTCCCATGTTATAGATGAAGAAACGGAAGTTCGGGGGTGGGGCTGGGGCACTTGTGCGAGGAGACAGGCTAGTGAGCGGTGTGGTCAAGGTTTGCACTGCTGCATCTGTTCCTAGCTGCTCGGCTGCAATTCCGTTCCGTCAGGGCCCCTCCGTGCAGCCTCCCAGTGGACAGGATCATCCTCCTTGGCAAAGGTTTGGTTTCTCATCAAGAACCTGAGACATTCCCCTGCTCCTCAGCCTCCAGAGCTCCAGCCTGCCAGCTCTTTAAGAGGAGGCCAGCAGGGCTTCCTGAAGCAGATGTCAGGTAGTGGGATCCCTACTGTGTGCTGGGGGGCGGGGTGGAGAGGGAGGGCAGAAGTGGAGACAGGATCCAAGGAGGGAGGCGAGGAACCTTTCTCCTCCTGCAAAGCTCACCTTCTCTTCCGCATCCTAATAGGACCCAGGAGAGTCCTGTGACTGAACAGCTTGAGAAGCTCTGCTCCCCAGTGTGGACCTGGAGGTGACCTTGCTAATCCTCACCTGGATGCTCTGAGGCAGAGCCAAGAAGTTCAAGGGCAGGACCTCGACCTCACCTTTTTGTCCTTATAGCCTGTCCTCGTGGAAGCTGACAAATGGACATAAATATACAATCCTCGCTTTTCCTTCTCTGTTAAGGAAGGAGCCAGGGGATGGAGGAGAGAGGGACAGAGGGCATGGCTAAGATGCCAGGGTGGGCTCGGGCACTCACCTTGGGAAATGGTGGTGGTGGGGTAGGTGGAATCCGGCAACTGGTAGGGGGGCAGCGTGGGCATGCCAGTGGGCGGAAAGCCCCCGGGCAGAAGGTGGTTGAATGCTGCCAGCTGGTTGGCTCCTGCCTGCTTACGCCAACGCGCACGGCGGTTGCTGAACCAGACCTGTGTGTGGGGTGGGAGGGGTGGGGAGTGGAGAAGGGAGTCCTCAGTTTGGCTCCTGGCGGAGAGCTGAGACTCAGCTGGAACAAGCATCCCTCCCACTCTGGCCATTTCTCACCCCACCCCCACCATCACCCTCCATCCAGGCAGCATCCTCCCCCGGAGGCCACCCCCACCTTCCTGTGCGGGGACAGTTTGCAGAGAGCTGTCATAGGCACGGTCCCTTTCTGTCCTCACGACCTCCCAGCAGGGCTTATGATCATTGCCCCCATTTTACAGATGAACAAACTGAGACCCAGAGTCAGTGAGTGGCTTGCCCACGTGACAGGCTATGTGGCTCTGAGTACAGTGCTCTTTCCATGGCAGCTGCTCCTGCCCAGAGGGATGGCAGTAGTAGATTGTCCTTGTTCCCACACACCCAACTCCCACCTCCTCTAGGAAGTCCTCAATGGGGAAGCCATCCGCGGCCAGAGGCACCAAGAACCCGCCAGAATCCAGGATGAGACCAGCCTGCCAGACTCAGATGTGAGAACCAGTTCTCTGCCCAGAGCCTGAGGCCTGGCTTTGCTCCTCCAGTGCAGGCCCCTTGACTGGGGAAACCACCTCCACAGTCACGGGGGTTTGGGACACAGGTGTCAGTGGAAAACCAACCTCACATCTTTGCGACTCCCTTTCCTCCACGCCCTGTGCTGACAGACCACCCCGCTGATATGCCAGCTGGAAGGAGGGGTCTTATGTGTGCCTGGTATTGCTTGTCTTTTCTCCCAGGGCAGAATGGGGTTCAGCTCCCAGGGTAGAAACGGGGTTCAGCTGTCTAAGCTGGTGACTAGAGCAGCCGGCTCTCACCAGTACAGGAGTCACCGAGATAGGAGTCGGGGCTGCTAAGTCGGGAGTGAAAACTGGACCCAAAGAAAACCAAAGTCCCGACTTCTCCCCCCTCCTGGGGGTATCCTGTCTCCCGAGGTGACTATTTCATCTGGCCCCTTTCTCGACGCAGCACAGACGAAAAGAACGTGATGGGCAGACTTGGGTTCGAGTCATCGCACAGTGGCCCATAAAGTGTGTCTTCAGGAAGTTCCTGGTCTGAGCTAAGTCTCAGATTTCTCACCTGCCAACTGGGGAGACTAGCCCTCCCTCCCTCCTGGGATTGTGGTGACGATGGTGAAGATAATGAATGCCAAGTGCTGAGCACTGTGCCTGGCGTGGAAGTGCATCAGACTTGGGATGGAGCGTTGTGAAAAGATTTGGTTTCAGCTGCTAATTAGCGAGTCCCTCTCCAGTGGTTCTCAACCTTTCCAATGCCACGGCCCTTTAATACAGCTCCTCACGTTGTGGTGACCCCCAACAATACAATTATTTTCGTTGCTACTTCATAACTGTAATGCTGCTACTGTTATGAATCGTAATGTACATATCTGTGTTTCCCGATGGTCTTAGGCGACCCTGCTAGTGGATCTCAACCTGTGGGTCACCACAACATGAGGAACTGTATTAAAAGGTTGTGGCATTAGAAAGGTTGAGAACCACTGCACTAGACCCTCCAAAATGGGATTCAGTTCAGGGTGGCCTTGGTGTCTAGAAGACATGGGCTTAGAGATCTTGGCGTCAGGAACAAAAGATTTGTTTGCCTCCAGGGAAGATATGTGCAAACAGGGAGAGGGGGTCAGCCTCCAGCTGCTTAAAATTGAAGATTCCTCTAGAGGAGGTTTCTGGCCCCCAGTATGGGTCCTCCTGCCTGGCACCCCTTCCCCCCACAGCCCCCCTTCACAGTCGCTGAGACAGGGGCGTCTCCACCAGGCATCAGGGGCGCCATATAACACCCCGTGGGCTTCCGAGGCAAGGCTGGAGGGGAGCCAGTGGGGGGTAGCACACTTGAGTTACAGACCCCCGCTGACACGGGTTTACCTGCTGACTTGTTTATTTGAGCAGCAGCTCCATGACAGCAGCGACTTCTGTCTGTCGAATCCCCGGTGCCTAGACCAGTGTCTGGCACATAGTAGGTGCTCAATAAATGAGTGCCAGATGAATGAATCTGGAGTTTCCAGAGTGGCCAGGATTGGGATCAAGAATAGCTGGAGTTTTAATCATGATGACACTCCACTTATGGCACTTTTGTGCGCTGGCCCCTTTCTAAGTGTGTGTGTGTGTGTGTGTGTGTGTGTGTGTGTGTGTGTGTGTGTGTTTCCATGTCATCATTTAATCCTCAGACCCTATTATTTCATCTCCACTTTGCAGATGAGGAAGCTGAGAGCGAAGGGAGTAATTGATGGCACTGGAATTCACACGGAGGCCTCTGTCTCTGAGACAACTCAGCCATTCCACTATCTCACCCACCTCCCAGGGCACTGAGGGACGAAGGCATGAAAGCTAGTTGCCTAAGGGAGGGGGTGGGGAACTGGGTGAAAAAGGTGAAGGGATTAAGAAATACAAATGGGTAGTTACAAAATAGTCACAGGGACGTAAAGTTCAGCAAAGGAAATAGGGCCCATAATCCTAGCCAATAAAAGGATAATATGCAAATTAACCATCACTCCATCACAAAGATGGCAACATCCAGTCCTCTCAACCCTGCAAGAGTCCCCCAGTCTAGGGGCAGGGTCGGGGGTGGCCGCTGAGAGTGGGCAGTGTGAGTGGCCTGGTGGAATGCTTGCTTCATTGCCATGCCTGTCTCGGGCCAGCCGCCCCTCTCCCCACGCTCCCCCGGAAGCTCCCACAGAAGTGGCAGGTGGCCTACTGCATGCGATAGCATGCGATTGGCTACTAGTATCGTAATAACTATGTGTTACGTGCCAGGTGGGTACTGAAAATATGGGAAAATTCTTTGAAAAGTATATGACTGTCTAAGCACTGTGCTGTATGTACACTTGAAACTAATATGAAATAATATTGAGTGTAAACTGTGATTGAAAAAGAAAATTGAAGTTAAAAAGTGGCATAAGATTGCAAAATCCCTGAACCATAGACTCTTAGAATCAGATGCTGAGACCCCTAAAGTCTTTCTAGAGCCATAAACCTAAGCAGCGCTCAGCTGCCTTCGAGGCCCTGGCCACACACTACCCACGGCAGGAACCATCCTGGGGGCCCTGAGACACGGACTGCGGCACTGCTGCCTGAGTGCTCCGGTCACGGGGATCTAATCACCTCACAGGCAGCCCTGATGGCTGGTCAGGGTCCTAGAACGTTAAGGGCCTATGACCATTTCCTTAAATTCCTTTACTTACAGATGTAAAATTAAGTCCCAGGAAGGAAACTGACTGTTAAAGGTGCTGCCGCTGGTCAGAGGCAGGAATCCCGGGGAACCTAGACTGTGGCTCCCAGTCCTGTGCCCTCCTTTCTGCCGACCTTTACCTGGGACTCGGACATCTCCCTGCCGGCCTGGTCCTGCCCGGGGCCTCAGAGCAGCCATGTCCTCCAAGTTTCCCTTCTCTGGGCCAAATGTCCCATCCTTCCTGTCTCTACTTTTATTCATTCATTTTTTGTTACCCTTTGTTCATTCTCTCTCTGTTTTTTTATTTTTATTTTTTAGCATTTCTTCTTCTGCCCTCTGCAGGGAAAGCTCTCTGGCTGGGAGCTCACAGCCTGAGGGGGACACCCCGCCCTGCCAGGGGAGGAAGCCCAGAGTCAGATAGAGGAGAAGGCATGTGGAGGATGTCTGCCTGGGCCCCTCACTCTGAGTATGTCTGTCCCCCCTCTTCCCAGCTCCCTCCCGCCCTGGACCTTGAGTGACACCTGTTCCCGGGTCCCCTGGGCCAATAAAAGCTGCCCTGACAGCCAGGAAATTTTACAAGCAGCAGCCAGGCTTCAAGGTGGTGGGAAGCAGCCGTGGCCCAGACGTAGGGATGAGAAAACACCCAGGAATGTGCCAGGAGAACAGCTGCAGGGGGATCAGAGGGGGGAGGGAGGCTGGCGGGGGCAGGCTCGGGTATCACTGGAGAGGAGGGGAGGAGGCGATGAGATGAGCTGGCTGCTGCTGCCTGCCCTGCCCCTTGGGTCTCTCTCAAAGGCAGCCAAGGCCCCACTCCCGGAGTGGGGGTGGGGAGGGTAGAGGGAGGTACACTGGTTCCTGGAGTGGCTAAATGCCACTTGCTTCTAGGACTTTCCCTATTGCTTTCAGATTGCAGCTCTGAGTCCGTTTCTACTTCCTGGATGACAAGAACCTGGTCTCAGGGGGTCTCCAGGCCAAGCTCAGCCCCAAACCAGCTCTGTGCCTCTGGGCATGCCACTTCTCCCAGCCTCAGTCTTGTACCCACAGCGTGGGGGTGGCCATGCCAACCCTGACAAGGACGTCAGAGGTTCCGCCAGGTCATGCACAAGCCCTGTGACTGGCACAAGGTGGGTGCCCAACAAAGGCTAGTTAGCCTCAGATGGAGGTGTCCCCAAGGAGCAGTTTGGGGTGACCTCCCCCTGCCGAACTGTCCCCCTCCCCCCCTCCCCCCCCCCGCCCAGTTCAGGGAGAAGATAGGCCAGTATGGGTCCCATGGGAGCTGTCTGTCATGACCTGCCCCTCCACCACCCAGCCTGAGCCCTCCCCAGCGGGTGGACACTCTCTCTGCACTCAGAGGCAAGCCCTGACCCCACTCCAGGCCTTGCAGGCCAGCAGGCTCTGCTCTTTCCGCACTCCCCCTCCTCCACCCCGCTGGTTGGGGACCTGACACTTGAGGATGTGAAGGGGGTGTTCAAGGTCTGGCCACCCTCTTCTGTGTTTCTAACACATCAGGAACCCACCATGTCTGGCTGCCCAGTCTGCTTGCATGCTTCCCATAACGGGAACCTCATTACCCATCTTAGGAAGCTAGGCCTGTTCAGAAATTTGTCTCCAAACTACTTTCTCCCTTCATCAGAGATTTGGAGGTTTTTGTTCTCTGAGCCCCTCTTCTGGCTGAAATACTGCACTTTCTTCCTTCCTCCCTTCCTTCCTCTCTCCCTTCCTCCCTCTCTCCCTTCGTCCTCCCCCCTCCCTCCCTCCTTCCCATCCCCTCTTCCTTCTTTTCTCTCTCTTTCCCTTTTCCTTTCTCCCTCCCTTGACCTCTTCTCTTCCTCTGCATCTCTCCCTCCATCCCTCCTCTCATCTTTTCTTTAAAGTCCTTGTTGCCTGGAGAGCTATCAGCAGGCCTCGCTGCAGCACGTGGCTTCCCCCTTCATCAGTCAGTCAGTCAGTCAACCAATGCTTGCTGCCACTTCCTCTGCATCCATTGCTGGTGGCATTGTTTGTCTCACGGTCCTCAGACCACTTACAACAGAACTCCCCCGGGGCCCCACGAACCCTCAGACCTGGCCACCCTGCTGCCTTAACTCCCGTCTCTGGGGTAGGGCCGCAGTGCCAACCCCCGAGACGCCTCTCACCTGGACGCGCGCCTCGGTCAGCTTGGTCCTCTGCGCCAGCTCCTCGCGGGTGTAGATGTCGGGGTAGTGCGTCCTCTCGAAGGCCTTCTCCAGCTCCTCCAGCTGCTCGGCCGTGAACGTGGTCCGGCTGCGGCGCTGCTTGCGCTTCAGGGGGAGGTCCGGTTCCGACTCCACGTCGGAGCCCTCGTCCAGCCGGTTCCCTGCAGCCAGGCGAGAGGGAGGGGGAAGGCGGCCTGGTGAGACGGAGGGGTGCTCTGGGCCCGCCTCCCAGCCCGTCCCTGCACTGAGGGAGCACCCCTCGGTGGGCATTGCTTTCAGAAGGAAGAGTGGGAGCAACCCCCATGCCCAGCCTGGGGGACCGGTTAAACATCTCATGGCACAATCACCCCTTAAAGAGGAGACTCGCCTGCAGCGGGGCATTTAGTTATTTCCACAGACGGGAAGGGTGTCGTGACAGAGGAGTCCGGGGGTGGTTTCCTGACGAAAAACACTTGTCCACATTTCTAGAACTACATTCTCCGAGAAGGAGGTGATTTAAGGGCACATGAACCACACCTGAGTAATCCCGACAGTACAAAAAGGCCGGGTACCAGCCAGCGTGCAAAGACCAGCCCCTCTTGGGAAGCGGGTGATGACACGGTATGGATGGGACGCTACAGCCAAGACGAACAGATGTTAGCCGCCGGGTGACGGGACTTTCGTTTTTCTTCTTTATACTTGTTGGTAGTTTAGTATTTTTAAAATGAGGACATTTAAACAACAACACTATTGTGTTTGGGGGAAAGATTGCAAAAATGAAGGAAAGGAGAGGGAGGGAGGGAGGGAGGGACAGAGGGAGCAATGCAATAGTGTCCCGTCTCTACCCCTGTTCTTACTTAATTACTTCAAACTGGGTTCCATGAATAGGCCAAGGCCCTGCCCACAAGGGACAACCTCCCCACTCGCACCCCAATAACCTAAAGCAGCCTCTGAGACGGCACATGGAGGTGAAGGGAAAGGCATTCCAGGCGGCGGAGGAGGGTGAGCATGTGCACAGGCCTGGCGTGTCAAAGGGCACGGTGGGCATGTTCTCACGGGGCTGCAGCCACGCTGGGAGCTCACCTCAGCTTGGGCAATGCCCCTCCGCCCATGTGCCCTCCCCCAGTCCTGCTGCTGTGGCCACTGCACTGTCGTGCCTGCTTTTGATTGGCCACTGCCAGGCTGTCCCTGCTTGTGACAACAAGGGAACCACACAGGCCGGGGACCCCTCCCTTCATCGTCCCCCGCCTCGTTCCTAAAGGCAGAGCCTGGGGTCGGATCCAACCCCCTCATCCACCCTCCCCCGGCTGCCTGTCAACCCGTCACTGAGAGGCGGCTACGGTGGGCACAGCTGGCAGCCAGGGCACCTTCCCCAACACGTCTGGGGCTCAGAGCCAAAGACAACTAATCGCAAGGATTCGTTTCCCGAAACTCACTGTGGTTACACAGTCCAGGTCCCTTCAGACCTCTCTCCATCTCTGACTAGTGGCAAGGAGAGGGAGCCCTCGGGGCCTCCGGGGGAGGTAGTAGGGCATGGCAGGCAGGCAGGGAGGGAGGCTAGCCCACTGGTGACCAGGCACCGGACTCCCTCCTCCAAGGGGGGCCCTCGAGCTCAGACAGGAGCTGAGTGAGAAGGACCGGTGGCCCTGTCCTCGGAGAAACCCCAGTCTGACTCCACCTCAGTTCCTCCAGCAATGCCGTCCAGCAATGCCGAGATGGGGGGATGCCCTGGGCACGTGTGGTTCCACGTGGTAGTATCTGCCACATGGCAACGAGCACTGGACACGTGTCTAGTGCAACTGAAGACTGAATTTTCTTGTTATTTCACGTTCATTCACATTTACGCGGCCAGGGGTGGCTGGTGGCTACCACACAGGACAGTAGGGTGTTGGATCTGACCTTTAACACTGCTGTCCTCTCTTTCTAAGAAGGAGGGGACTGGCCTCTAGTAGAATTAACAGCATTGTTTTTGTGGTTTCTGTCTGTATAGGACATGATGCTCATCTTCCAATTATGAGAGCAGTCGTTTCCTTGAATTCAGTTTTGGAGGTGCTTTCGTGTAAGTTATTTTTTGTGTGTTTTTTTTTAAATATATTTTATTGATTTTTTACAGAGAAGAAGGGAGAGAGATAGAGAGCTAGAAATGTCGATGAGAGAGAACCATCAACCAGCTGCCTCTTGCACAGCACCCACCGGGGATGTGCCCACAACCAACGTACATGCCCCTTGCTGGAATCGAACCTGGGACCTTTCAGTCCGCAGACCAACGCTCTTCATGTAAGTTTTTAAGGAAATAACAGAACAGGCTCTGGGGCTGTACCCAAAAGCATGGATGCAGTTAGCAACTGGCCAGCTGCCGGATGCATTCAAGATGCTTCCGACACTGCCTTGCCCAGCCTCAGTGCCTGCTCAGTGCCCAGCCTCAGTGCCCGCTCAGTGCCCAGCCTCAGTGCCGCTCGGGCCCCTTGTGCATCCAATGCCCTTGCCCTCCAAGCTCCGGCAGCTTTCTAGACTCACTGTCTCCTTCCTCCTCATCCCCCTGCTCCTCCCACCCCTTGTTCAGCACAGACCTGGGGTCTTTGGGGCCCAGAGGGATGCCCAGACCAAAACTCAGACTGAGGAAGGCAACACAGGGCCCTCAGGCCTCTATTGGATGAAAGGATCCTCTAGGATGTTGACAGTTCTGGGTGGTGAGTGGGGAGAGCAAGGCTCTGTCCCACTAGCCAGAGATGGAGAGAGGTCCGAAAGGACCTGGATTGTGTAACGACAGGCCGCCTCCCTGGCCCAGCCCGGGGAAGAGAGCCTTCTTGGTCTATGCCAGCTTCACAGCGGACTGGGCTATTGGCTCCTTTACACAGAGGGAAAAGGCTCAGAGAGGTTCAGTAACTTGGTGGAGGCCACACAGCCTGTAAGTGCATGCTCATTCCTGGACAAGGAAGGGGAGGGAGGATAGATTGGGAGGATGTGGGGGACCCGCTGGGGCAGCTCTGGTCCAGTCAGGAGCCCTGGTCTGGGAGGCCTGACAACCGGATTCTGGGCTCTATCTCCCCCCCACCCCCCCACTGGGTGGCCTTGGATCAGGGGCTTCCCCTCTGGACCTCGGTGTTCCCGGCTGCGAGAAGGAGGATGGCGATACATGCCTGGGTGTCCTACGGGGTGGCTTTGAGAACGGAATGAAATGAAGACTGAGGGAATAATTTGGAGCCATGGAGGGGCACGCACATGAAGAATGCTGCTGCTGCCGAAGGTGATGATGATAGTGGTGATGATGGTGATGGTTACAGAAAGGGTGGAGGGTGGGTGCAGGACCAAAGCAGCCTGAGTGAGGGGGGCTCACTCACCGAGCCCTGATATCTCCCTACCCCCATCCCTCACTTCAGTTTCCCCAATGATGCTCTCCCGCCTCCGGAACCCATTAGTCTCTGAGTTAAATTAATCAACAGGATTAGGTGGACTTGGCCACAGAGAGGCCTGGACGGCGGGGGCTGAGTCCTCCGCGCATCGAAAGCCCGGGCAGCTGGCACGGGGAGGGGCTGCGGGAAAGCGGGCATGGGAGCGCATTCATTAAGGGGAGCCGCACAGGGGCGGGCGCGGGAGCAGCCTCCCGGCCAGCTGCACCCCTGTCCCCGCTCTCCAGCAGCTGGGAGACGGGAAGATTCATGGAGGCAGGACAGGCTGGTGCTGGAGATGGGGGCCCCGGAGAGAGAGGGATATGGGGAGGGGCCCTCCTGGGTTCCGAGCTCCTCCCTCTGCTTAGGGCTGTGGGGAGTCTGACACAGAAAACCAGCCCCGCCGTGGGGCCCTCCAACCTTTGGGGGGGAACAGTCTATCTCAGGAAGCTCCCCGTCTGCCGTCTGATGGAAGAGCTATCGGGTATCCCCCCTGTTTCAGGGCGTCCCAGTCCGATGAAGGAAACAGCCTCCAGCTGAAGGGGGGCCAGGGCAGGTGTGAAACGCGTGACTTGAGAGCCACAGAACAGCCCGAGGAGGGAGTGAGCCACGGGAAGGGGAGAGGAGGATGGACCCTAAGGGTGGGCAGGATGAGGTCTGCTGGGGCAAAGGCCAACCCAGGCCAGGCTGCTGGAAGTGGGGAGCATATTGCTGGGGCAGCCCTCACATCCCGGGCCCCATCCTCCCCCCTCCTCTGAAGACCACCAGCTTTCACAGTCCCTGAACCTGGAAGCCTTGATACGCCAGCAAGGCCCTGTCCCACGTGCCCTGCCTCTCCCACGTGGTACCCGTCCAGCTCTCGGCCTCCTGAAGTGACCCAGCCGGGCCCTCTCCCATGTCCAGCTTCTGAAAGGGAGCTCCCTCTGCTTGGACTGCCCCCACCCCCTAGGGGCCACCTGCTCAGCCAGCAGAGCCCAGCCCTGGGGGCCCCAGCACCACTTCCTGGCCAGGCTGGCTTCAGGGCCAGTACTCGGGGCTCCCCAAGCTCACCGGGAGACACAAAGCCCGCCATCGCTGCGTGTCTGGGCCCCACTGCACCAGGAGACCCTTGATGGCAACAGGGATGGTGCTAGCACACAGCAGGCGCTCAATAGAGGCTTCTTGGATGGACAGGGCTTTGAGGGACAATCACGAAGTTTCTGTGAAATAGTCCTGCCTCAATGCAACAGTCACCCCCTCACGCTGTGCACATTCCCTGCAGCGCACAAGCCTTCCATTGACCTGACACCGTTTGTCCCCATGACCCCCGAGGGCCAGGCCGGCAGGAACAGCCCCGTTTCCCAGGTGCTCGGTGGAATCCCAGGGTCCAGGGCCTGGCAGGGAAACCCAGGACTCAGGACTCCCAGCTCAGTGACCGTCGACTTGGCTGCAGTGAATTCTGGGGGATGGAGAATTCCATTTCTGATCATGGAAACTGAGGTGGCTCTTCTCTATCCCTGCCCCCCACCCCCGCTCCCCAAGCCTTCCCTGCTCTCCCTTTGCCCAAGGAAAAACCTTGAAATGAGATGGTCACAGTTCCTGGACCTGCAGGAGGGAGTGGGCCATCTCCAAATCCTCACCAGATATTCCGGACCAGGGGAGGCCGGCGATGGCCTTCAGGTGTGGGGTCCTTCCCTCAGACCCCCCACCCCCACAGACACCTCCCACCCCTGTTTCTGCACCCCCATCCCTGCCGCCTCCCAGCCCGGCCTTTATTACAGTTTAACATAGGCCGGCTCGGAGCTGCGGCAGAG